AACCCACTTGCTTTCTCTTCAGTCTCTAGAGAATGCCAGCTCAGTCTAAACATGGAATTAGTCATGACATATTCAAATTGCAGCCATCTTAAACATAGGGCAAGATGTACGTTATAAAAATAAATGCTTTTCTTTATCTTTGTGAAAGCAACAGCAGCAGGATTTAATTGACTATTTTCTGCTGTTTTTCTAGGTTAGCAAAAGAGGCTTTAATTTATTTAAAGCCACTTACACAATTCCCCTGGTGGGAGGAGATATCTGGGGGGCTAAAACAAAGCTGGTTAAAAGTGTAGCGATCAACTTCAATGAACATTGCTGAGCTGCACATCCCCTGGTGAGCTGCAGGGGGCACTGTTGACTCAAGTTGGAAAACCTCTCTCGGGGATGTTAAAGTATCTGAGAGATGGATAGAGCATCTCTTAACTTGGTATTAGGGCATTTTGAGTGTGCACAGTTTTTTCTGAGTTTCCTGACAGTAGGTTTTCTTCCAAACTTCTGTAATGTCAAAACACTGCAATGATGGAGAAGTAAATTAGTTGCAAATAGAAAAGAAATTCAGCTGCAAGTACCATACTAATTACAATGCAGACTTATAACACCCTTACTGCTGACTCTCTAAAAGAGAGGGGCAAAGCTGCAAATAGGAGAAATTAGAGCATTTAAGGTGACCGCAGATTCAGGAGAAGAGGAAGGGAAATTTGAGGGAGAGGAGGTGAAAACAAATATTAAAGGATGTGGGGAGTAAAATAATGAAGGGGATAAAGGAAAGAGAATGAAAGAGGAGAGAGGCGAGAGTTGCAGTCTGTATATTATTGATTGGTTGGAACCCAAGTGCAGAGTTGGACTCTCCCATCTGACCAGCCTCCTGCTTCATTAGCACTCGGAGGACGACAACCAGAAAGCTTCACATCTCCTTCACCAAACAATACATGGTGTACAGTAGAATGGATGAGATGTTAAGAGACAATTGGACTGCTTTTCAGATGTTTTCCTTTAAATGTTTCCCTGTCTGCATCTAAAATGTGTGGACATAAATTGAAACTGTAGTTCACTGTTTCTGCTTCCATGCAGCAGTCACACAACCCAGGGGAGCTGTTGTTTCCCTGAAGTGAATTTGTATCAGCTCCAATGGAGAGTTGCTGTGTCCTACAAGAAAACTGAAATGAAGACTTGCAGTACATCTTGTAGTGCCCTCAGACCTCATTCATTGTGAGACCTGTTGCCTCGCTTGACTTAAGTGATCTGGTGTTAGAAAAAGGATTCAAGTATGCAGGGGAAGGAGGTGAAGGAAATCAGGAGAACAGCAACAAAGGGGACAGCGGGAGAGAATGAAGTTAAGGACAAGAAATATGAGGAGCAGAATGGGTTTTTTTGTAAATGTTGCTTGAAGTGCTCTATGGGACATTTGTAGCACTGAGTAATGGCAAAAGTGAATTTCAGTATGTGGTAAGAGTATGTATGGGCTCTTTCTTTCTTTACCTTGGGCAGCTGCAATTATTAATTGCTTGCAGAGTTTTTCTATTCTTCAAAATGCAAAAAAGCACAAAGTGTGTGCTTTCATCTATATTTCAGTAGGGTTTTGCTAAGCATGCTATCTTGACTGCTGATGACTTGATTTAGTTCTTTTCAACTGCACAAATCTAGATAAAGAGAAGTATGTAATTTCATTTTGGTGGTGTGCTGTTTGTAGAGGTTTGGTCTTTGAGGCTTGAGGATGCACTTGAAGAGACGCAACTAAAAACAGCAATCAGTGGCATTCTGCCCATTACCTTGTATATGTGCACTTTCTTCTCTTGGCTGCTAAATATTAACCTCACTTTGCCAGATACTAGACTCTAAAACAGTGACTGATTTTAAAGGGCTGACTCACTCTATTCTCTGTTCTCTTGTTTTGTCCCTATGTTGCCAGATACTAGACTCTAAAACAGTGGCTGATTTTAAAGGGCTGACTCACTCTACTCCCTGTTCTCTTGTTTTGTCCCTATACCGCTATCCTTTTAGCCCTCTTTCTCCACAGTATCCAGCTTGGGCTTTTTTTTTTCTTTTCATAACCATGGAAGTAGACCCTCTGCTTTAATGAGTCTGAAAGTTGAAATCTCTTGCTACACTCTCTCCTTTGGCCTTACAATAAGCCACTGCTATGCCGACCAAGGGTAGGGTGACATTTTTAATGCAGAACATCCACTTGTAAGGCAGCTGCTGCAATTTCAATATTTATTGTGAACATGCTAGGCCGCCAAGGCACATAGTAGGAACTAGTGAGCTGATGTAGATAAAATTGATAAAGCCAAGGTTTAAATTCAGCTCAAAGACAATGTTCCATTTTTGTTTGGCTTTTCTCTCATGGCTCACAGACATTTGATTTATATGTGTGAGCAAGGACACTTGTCTCCCAGAAGAGGAACTTCCACTTTATTTGTTAGGACACTAAAGTTTTTGAACAACTTTCTAGACATGTGTGGCATTTTGATGAAAATATCAAAGTGTTTGTTTCTCTCCCAGATTTGTATAGAGAAATTGATGATGAAAATAACTTGGTTGCGGCTTGACTCCCTCTGTCAACAGCAAGGTTAGAGACCAGGGTCAGCACCTCTGAGCTGGTAATTCTGGTATGCTAATGCCATTTTGACTGAGAAACTTGTTCTCCTCTGCCTTTTCTTGTCTGGTCCTCCTTGGCATTACATTACATCTGTTTTTTGAGTCTGAACAAAATATAAAAAGCCTATCTGCACACAGTTCAACCAGATTGGTATACTTGAACACAAAACTGGAGTTTATCAACTTCCTTATACTGTAGCTCCCGAAAAGAGAAAATGACTTTTTTTTTTCCTGCAAACTGTTCTCAGTTGGTGCCAGAGCAGTTCAGTAAGCTGTCAGTGGGGCTCAGAGAATAGCTCCAGCTGGATCTTGTTTCAGATTTCTCATAGGATGTGTCTGTAAGCATCATAGAAGCCCTACTGTTAATTGTGCTCATTCATCCACAAGTGATTCTGAATTGTCAGATCATATTTGTGCCAGATCAGAGTAGCAGCATCTTTATCTCTATCACATTTGCATTATTCTACCTGAACACATGCTCTGGATCTTTCTAGCATCTTCCTTTTTTCTTCAGATCCTAAAAATGTCATATTGCAGTTCTTTTTTTTGTCACTTATTTATGAGTGAAACTTCCAGTTTGAAATTTTTAGGTCAAGTTGTCCCCTGCTAGCTCCAAAGCAAAGCCAACTAATTCTAGTTTGTGGAAACCTGCATGTTTTTGTTATCAAAGCATCAGACATGAAAGACTTTTCTTCTTGTGATTTTAACTTATTTTCTGTTCTGGCTTGCAGTGCCAGTGCTATAATCGTGGAGGAACGGATGCTCTTTGTTTGGAAGCACACAACACACATACATATTGAGCCCTCCCAGTGAAAGCTGTGACTTTGTTTATTAACAAAGTGTTGAGGAATACACTTTAACACTCCATTATGACTTCTGTGTGGAGGTGCTGTGATCAGAGGCTCCCTGAACATCCCTTCCTGCCTCATGTGAAGCCGACCTCATGCGCAGAAGGCTGAACTTTGAACACAACTCAAAGCTCCCCTGACAAGTTGCGTAAAGCCCAGTTCTTCTCACTTGCTTGGTCCAACCTTTTCATTTATCATCTGAGGGATTACATGGCCCAATCAATATGTTGGAGAGTGCTAATGTAAATGCTACCAAGTTCAAATCCTTCACATCAAGCCACCCACCAGCCTAGAAGGACAAAGGCGGTCTTGTCTCAGTCTCTACTTGCCTTGCGCTACATGCCCCAAAATGCTTTGT